CTTTGAGAGATCCACAGTGAATTTGTGTAGGACTTCTCTTGTGTTTCCTTGGAGTGTGCCAAAAAAGAGCTCTACTGCCATCTCCTACAATGAATTCAAACTTGCTGTCTTCTGAAAGTAATGCTGTAAGAGCTTCTGTATGGAATTTGTTGTCACACAAATGCAATGACATATTGGTTGGTTTGAAAGGTTCAAAGTCAGTGTTGACTTTCCTTTCCTGTGTTTCCTTTCCTTTTTCCTTTCCTTCTTCTGTTGCAGTTTTCCATAGTAAACAACTAGACCATTTTGGAGGTACTTTGTTGTAAAGTTTGAGTCTCTGTTGTACAGATGTAATGGCTGTCAGAACTGCAAGGCAGTTTACTTATGACTTAATGTTAGATGCAGTTCCAAATTCATCTGCTAACATTTTTGCCACTCATAAAATCTGGTCTTTGGGAGAATGATCAATGATATCATACTGGTGCCATTGCCATGGGGCCACCTCCAAGCTCTTAATGAGCTTTTTTTTTTTTTCAGTACTGGAGCTTGAACTCAGGGCTTTCACCTTAAACCACTCCACCAGCCCTTTTTTGTGCAGGTTTTTTTTTTTTAGATAGGGTCTTGAGAACTATTTGCCCAGGCTGACTCCAAACTTGATCCTCCTGATCTCTGCCTCCTAAGTAGCTGGGATTATAGGCGTGAGCCACCCTGGCTTGATGAGTTTTTTTGATCTTCCAGATTTCCACATTCCTGTCGGCAGCACTGGAGTCACCTGCCATCTTCTTGCCTCCTCCTCCCTAAGGGCCCGTCCTGGGTGGTGGCTCTGACTAGGAAGCAGGCTTCCTCTCTCCAGGCAACTGCATGAGTTACAGTCCTCTCACATGAGGCCTGTGATATCACTTCCTCCTCCAGGGAAGAGTGGAAGGAGGCCAAAAAAAAAAAATCTTAATAACAATAATAATGGAACATGAGCATAAAAGGGGTAACTTTGGGGGAGGGAGAATCAGTGGGAGCATGGAGGGAAAAAGGAAAGGGTACTGGAGGTGAGCAGGATTGAAGTACATAGAAGTACATAGATGATAGATAGATAGATAATGAAGGTAACATAATGAACTCCACTGAATATTGTTTGAAAGGGGGGAGAGGGAGGGAGTTAATACAGGGGTTGACCTCGACCAAAGTACATTTTACACATCTATGGAAATATTACAATGAAACCCCTTTGTTCAATTAATGTATGCCAATAATATCTATCAATGATTGGATGGACAAATAAAATTATGACATTTTGGTATATTATGAAACCATAAAAAAGAAATGAAGGTAGCCAAGCAAGGTGGTATACACCTGTAATCTCAGCATTGAGGAGGCTAAAGCAGGAGGATCACAAGTTCAAATCCAGCATGGGCTACATAGCAAGACCCATGACACAATACAGATGAATGCTGAAAACATGATGCTGAATGAAAGAAGCCAAGTATCCACAAAAGACCATATATTGCTGGAGTCCATTGATAGGAAACGTTCAGAACTGGCAAATCCAAAGAGACAGAAAGCATATTAGTGGTTACCAGGAGCTGAGAAGGGGTAATGCAAATGTTCTAGAACTACTTAAAAGTGGTGCTTGCATGACTTTGCGGACATACTAAATGCCTCTGGGGTATGCACTTTCAAATCAACCATTTTATTTATAAGAATTTCTTCTTTAAAAAAGTAATAAAATAAACCACAATGTGTGATGGCTGCCACCAATTCCTTCATCCTATATACAGTAGACTTGCTAAGTGTCATAAACTATGTTAGGCATTGAGGATGCAAGACTAACAAGATTCTTGCTTTTAAAGCTCCTAGATTTTTCTAGGATAAGTGGGGAGAGACAAACATTAAGAAGTTAGCAGATGGATAATATCGGGTAGTGGTGAGTGCTGCGAAGACCTTACCAGAAATATAAGACTGAAAGGTTACTTGTAAGTCATCAAGAAAGATCTAAGAGGTAAGATATCCCTGAAAGACTGTATTAGTCTGATTTCTGTTGCTATAACAAACTACGTGAAAATGGGAAAATAGAATAGGTTTATTTAGCTCACTGTTTTAGAAGCTGAAAGAGGAGGTGATCCTATGTGTTTGGTCTCTTATGAGGGCCCCCCAAACACACACCGGCTGCATCACAACATGGCAGATGAACTGCATGCAGAAGAATTCACATGGAGAGACAGGAAGCCAGAGGGGGATTCAGGCACCAGGCTCGCTTTTTGATAACAACTCACTCTCTCAAGAACTCAGCAGGGTCCTATGAGAACTATATAAGTCTCTTCCAAAGGCAACATCCCCAGCAATCTGAACACCTTTCACCAGAACCCATCTCCTAAAGCTTCTACCACCACCCAACATTGCCATACTGGGGACCAAGAATCCAGGACATAAGTCCTTGGGGGACAAACTACATCCAAACCACAGGAGATACTAAAAACCCAGCCAGAACAAATGATACTAATAATAATTAATAATAATAATGGAAAGAGATCCAATCAAAAAAATAACTGTGAAGGTCCTGGGGCAGGAATTAACTAACACATTTGAGGACCACAAAGATGGCCAGGGAGGCTGGAGTACAGCAAGTGAGGCTAAGAATGGAGGGAGACGATCCAGATTATGCAGAGCTTCGTGAATAAACACCTTTTAGATTTTATTATAAATATGATAGGATTCAATGATGGGTTTTAAGAAGAAAGGGATGTGGTCTAGTTTAAACACCACTGCTGGCTGTCATATGGAGAATGGGTTTAAGAAAGCCAAGCAAGGGAAGGTAGGCAAGGAGATCAGGTCAATGACACATAATTATAGGAGTGACATTGTTAGTGGTACCAATGGAAAACAAAATACTCAGATTAGAGACAAATTTGGGGGCTGGAAGTGTGCATCAAGTGGTAGAGAGCTACCTAGCAAGTACAGCCTACCAAGCAAGGCCCTGAGTTCAATTTCCTGTACCACCAAAATAATAACAATAAAGATAAATTCAGAAGGTAGAGCAGGCAGAACTTGATAATGGATTGAATGTGGATGTTTATCAGGGAAAGAGGGGAAGGAAAAGAGAATGAGGGAGCATCAACAATATCATAAAACATAACATCTGTAAAGGTAGAGGATATAAGGATATGTATTGAAAGCTGTTGAAAAATGAGTGGTGGGAGATAAAGGGGTAAGGGAGAGTAATAGAAGGGATTGAACAGACCAAAGTAAAGCATATCTACAGTGGGCATACATTGAGAAACTCTTTTGAACATCAATTTAAATATAATTAATATTGAATATTAATATCAACTGTAAAAAAGGTAGTGGAGGATACTACTGGGAGGGAAGAGGGTGAATGAAGATTAAGATGAGGGTATATGGTTGATAGCCTTCATATACCTATATAGAAATAGTACAAAGAAATCTCTTGCAATTGCTTAAGTGGAGTGGGGAGGGGGTTGAGGGGGCAGACAATAGGGCAAATGTAACTAATGTATAACATAAGTCTAATCAGAATTGTCACTACCAATCTCCCCTGTATAATGAATACAGCCTAATAAAAATAATAATAAAAATAAACTCCATAAAAAAAAATCCTAGGGCTGGCGAAATGGCTCAAACAGAAGAGCGCTTGCCTAGCAAGGTTGAGGCCCTGAGATTAAACCCAGTACCACCAAAAAAAAAAAAAAAGTTTAAAAAAAATCACTAAGAGAGGCTCCTAATTTTCTAACATGAGCAGCTGGGGTGTGTGGTGGGCTAACTGTAAGGTAAAGAAAAAGAGGAGGGAAAAGAATGAGGAGATTCATCAGAAATTCAAATGCTCAGGTTACAGCTCAAAGGAAACAATGTGATGAAGTATTTAGGAGGGAGGAAAGGTGGACAGTTGGCTCTTGGTCTTCCCCAGACTTCGATCTGCTTCCTATGAGAAAGGAACACTGCTGAGACACACTGTCTTCTTCCCATCATAGAACCAGGAAGTTCAGACATGACTCTCACTTTCCCAGCTTCCCTTGAGGATAGACACTGGCCATGTGATGTAGGTTCAGCCAATTAAGTGGAGCCAACTAGGACCCTGGAATCTAAGGAGGCAAAAAGCAGTTATCATAGATAACTGATACTGTTGGTCACTGCAGGACTGCAAAAAACTCCAGGGTAAGAGCAGACAGAAGTAAGAGTTCAGCAATGGTAGTCACAGTATTCCCAAGGGCCACCATGTAGGCTTTCGGTTTGGAGGTTTTTGTCTGTAATCTGACCGCAAGGCTATCTTTTTCCATTTCTGTTGCTTGCACTAAAAGTCCTGAGTGATGAGAAAGTAGGGATTAATCATCATGGTAGAGAAAGATGTTTAAGTTAGGGTCTGAATATTGAAAAGAAGGCAACCATGAAAAAGGACATGCAACGGGATATTCCATGCAGAGTTAACAAGTTCTAAATTTGAGACTGGGAAAGAATTCAGGATGTACCAGTAGCTGGAAGAAGGGCACGTTGCTGGAGAGTGATTAAAGTATTTTATTCTTTTTGATGCTATTATAAATGGAATTGTATTCTTAATTTTTTTTTGGATTGTTCAGTACCAAGTGCATACAAATATAATTGATATTTGAACACTAATCTTGTATCCTTCATCTTCTGTGATTCAAGAATTTCATAGTGGATTCCTTAAGATTTTTCTAGGCGTAAGATTATGTCATCTGCAAAGAGGAGTAGGGGAAAAAGAGAGAGAGAGAGAGAGAATAGCAAGAAATGGGCTAGATAAGAAGGGCTTTCTCAAGGAATGTCCAAGGTTGGGCTCCAAAGCAAAAACTCCTTTCCACCTCTCCCCCTCCCCCCACCTCCACTCCCACCATTCCCCTCCCCCGCCTCTGGAATTCCATCTGCGTTGTTGATCCCGTCGCCATGGTGATGGGTACTCTCAGTTGACTCACTCAACTGCTGTCGTTGGGGGGGTGGGAGGTCCCCGTCCTTCTGAGTGGGTATCCCTGGCCAGGCTAGGGCACCAAGCCGGGACCATGCCCGTGTTGCTACCGCAGGCTGCGCGCCACCAGGAAACGCGTATTGGGGCCCCAGAATGGCGCGAGGCGGCCCAGGCCACGTCTCGAAAAGCACGTCTTTTGATCGACCGCTGCGGGCAGGAGGCAGTGACCATGTGGCAACCCAAAGCCAGCATACGGGACCCGCACATGGCGCACCATCTGTGCCGCGCCGCCTACATGGAGCCTTGGCGCTTCCGCGTGGAGATGCTCAAAGGCGGCAGCACAGTGGAGAAGCCACCGCCGGGCGAGGGCGTGACTCTGTGGAAAGGGAAGATGAAGCCACCAGCCTGGTATGCTCGCCTGCCTCTGCCCCTGCATCGCGATGCGCGCGCCCTGCAGACGGCCGAATTGGTGCTCGCGCACGCGCGCGGAGCGCGCCTCACTGCCGCCCGCCTAGGCCGCGCGCAGAACCAAATCAATGCGCAGCTGCGGCTGCTGCAGCGCCAAAGGGAGGTTCTGGACCTCAGGCTGAGCGAGGTGCGCAAAGGCTTGCTTGTCAACCAGCAGAGCGTCAAGCTGCGGGGCTACCGGCCCAAGTGCGAGAAGGTGAGAGCCTCACCCATCCCTCAAACCGGGATACCAAGACTGAGACTTCCGCTCCCGGGTATTCAACCTGAGAAAAACCCACCCCATAGAATCGGAACACTTCCCATGTCCCCACTCCAGCCAGTAACCTTATAAGAGGAGGACACCCCCAGGATGAGGTCCCTAAGCCCCAAGTCCCAGAGAGGGAGACCCGCCCAAAGAGATGAGATCCCCCAAGAGAGGGAAATTATTCTGAGCCCAGCCAGGGAAAGAGGTTAGGGAAAGAGTTGCACTGTAAGAAAAACCTTCCCCCAGGCGGGCATGGTGGTTCGTGTATGGGACATGGAGGTAGGAAGAGATAGAGGTGGGAAACCAGGCAGAACAAAACTGCCAGACCCTATCTTGAAAAATAGATAAAGCAAAAAAGGGAGCAGCAGGCGAGGAATATGGCTCAAGTGCCAGAGTGTTTGTCTAGCATGCTCCATGCCAGTAAAAAGAACGGAAGTAAAGTGAGGGAAGGGGGAAAAAATCCTTCCCAAGGAGAAAATTTTGCAACCTCCCAGCCTTGGCATACTGTTCCTTGGGCATGAGACATTTAATGCTCTTATTTGGGGAGAGGGGTCCCCTCCTCCAGTGGGGAAAGCAGATAATGCCCTGGTTTCAATCTAGATGAAATTCCCCCAAAAAAATGAGAAATCAAACCAAACTCTCCAGTCTCAGGAAGTGAGGACACTTCTGTAGCCCCCATCTAGGGAAAGAAAGGTCCACCCTACAGAGCAAGACTTCAGACTCCCAGTTCCCACACCTAGAGTTAACCCCCAACCAGGTGAATAAATGGTGAGACCCCTAGACCCAGATGACACCTTGCTTACAGGGTGGAGTTCCTGCCTGCAACCCCAATCCAAATAGTAAGATGAGATCTTGCCTTCCAACCAGGAATGGGATGAGCCCATCACTGAGGAAGGCATCCTCAGCCTCAAGTAGTGAAAACAGCCCTCCCCAAATTGAGTCACCTCCATTCCCAGCTTGCTGGGCCCCTTTCTGTAAAAGATAGAAGCCCAGAAGGTAAACCCCCCCAAAAAAAAGTGAGAGAGATCAAGATCAAAGATGAAGTTTTCTCAAACAATGAGACCCCCAGAATGAGACTTTCCACAGCTGCATATTCCAAGCCCACAGTGTATGAGGCTGATACATTCTCTTCTGAAAGAAATCTCCCTCCATCCCTCTCCTGAAGGGAGAGCAATTCCTTCCTTGTTTTCTAGGTCCCTGACAAGGCTGACAGTGCACTTACATGGGAGAAAGATGAACTGAGATCCATGAAGAGGAAAATGGAAAAAGATATGGAAAAATCGGAGACCCTGCTGAAGGTTAGGCGTACCTGGGGCCAAGCTATGGAGACTAGAAAGGAATCTCTAGCTATCTAATGAATAAACAACTCTGACCTTGGAGACAGTAACAACAGCAAATCTCTTCAAACACTAACTTGATACTCACTGAATTTCTACTTTGCAAAATGGGGGAAAAAATGTCCTAAGAGATGGAGTTGGACCTCAGAATAACAACGAGCACCCACCCTATGTCAAACCCTGTGCAATCATTGAATGAGTGAATTTGAAACTCTGCTGTGAGGGGCTGGTTGTAGTGCTTCACACCTGTAGTCCTAGCTGCTAGTAGGTAAAGAAGAAGGGCCACAACTGTAGGCAAAAAAGTTAGCAAGCTGGACGTGGTGGCTCACCGAGTGGTTGCAATCCCAGGTACTCGGGAGGTAGTGGTAGGAGGATCATGGTTCAGGGGCAGCCCCAGACAAAAAAGTTCAAGACCCTATCTCAAAAATAAACTAACGCAAAAAAGTGCTGAGGGTGTGGATCAAGTGGTAAAGCACCTGCCTAGCAAGCTCGAGGCCCTGAGTTCAAAACCCCAGTACCACCAAATGCCCTCATTATACATGGGGAAACTGAGACTCAAAGAGAGATGGCTTCACCCAAGACACAGAGCCAGACAGTGGCAGGGCTGTGCTTTTAGTTTGGACATCTTGAGTCTGGCATTTTACAGTCATAACACACGCTCCATTTTTTGTCAACTTCGGCCAGACATGTTCTCTCAGTGGATCCTTCACACTTAGCAACAAGAACTTTTTGAGGGTATTAATGGAGGTGGGAAAGCAGACAGCCTTCAGGGAGTCTTTGGGACAGCTTAGAATTGACCTGTGACCTGTGTGTCCTTTTGACTCATCCATCTGACAAATATTAATCCAATGCCCTGTTGTCCCAAACGCTATACTTAGCATTAGTGACAAAGTTAGTGAACACATCAGAGCTGACCTTACCCTGGCAGAGTTCACATTCAAGGGGCATTCAAAGAAGGGTAGTGAAGGGTGAAAGTAAGGATTGGGGGGGGGGGGAGGAAGAGAGACCACTGTCCATGGTGCTGAAATTCCCTAACTATATTCCTTTAAATATGGTGATTCTGAAAAATCCTTCCAAAGAATCTGAAACAGACAAGGGGAAAGACCATGAGGGTGGACATGTGAGGGAACAGCTCAAAAGACAGGAAGGTAAATAGGAAGGCAAAGAAAGAGAGATGTAGATAGAAACAGAGACCCACCAGTGGACAGAATGTAGGTGGAATATTGCAGAAAAAATGCTCACCACCATGCAGACTTCTTTCAACCTATGATCATGAACTCAGATCTCAAACTGGTTCTCAGAGTTTTCCTACTGAATGTCTCTAGAAGGCTCATTGTCCCGTTGTGCAAGTTATCTCACACTTTATTTTTGTTTGGTTGGTTTAAGTTTGGGCTTGGGGTTTTTTTGAGACAGGGTTTTATTACATACCCTAAGCTGGCCTAAACTCACAATCCTCCTGCCTCAGCCTCCCAAGTGCTGGGATTACAAAACTGTACCACCACACCCAACTCTATCTCATACTTTCTTGGGTTTGCCAACTTTGCATCACTGTGACAAAATACCTGAAATAATCAATTGATAAGGAAAAAAGATTTATTTTGGCTCATGATTGCTGAGGTTTCAGTCCATGGTCAGCTGGCTCCATTGCATTGAGACTGTGGCAGGGCAGAACATCATGGCAGGGATCACATAGCACAAGAGGCTGCTCACCTTATGGTGGCCAGGAAGCAGAGAGAGAGGAAAGGCAGCAGGAATCCCATTACATCCCCCAAATTCTTCCCACTAAAGGACTTCCCAAAGGACCCAGCACCTCCCAACAGTGCCACAGGTTGGCAACCAAGCCTTTAACACATGAGCTTTGGGGAAACATTTCAGATCCAAATCATAGCATTTCTCTTCCTCCTAGTCCTCTCCAACTCTTTGGCCATTCCTCACTCTCCAGTGCACAGAAAAGGAACCACTCTCATTTTCCCTCTGTCCTACACAGTCTGGCCTCTGAATCCATGGGTTCCATATCTTCAAGATTCCACCAACATCAGATCACAAATATGTGGAAAACACTTACATCTGTACCATACATGCACAGTCTTATTTTTTTTCTTGCCATTATTCCCTAAACAATACCATAGAACAACTATTTGGATAGCATCTCTATTGCATTAGGCAGTGTAAGCAACCTAGAGATGATTTTAAAGTCTACAGGAGGATGTACCTGTGTTTCATATAGATACTATGCCATTTTTAAATTTTTTAATAGCATGGTTTTTTTATAGAAGGGACCTAAGCATTTGTGCATTTCAGTCTTAGGGCACAGGGAAAATAGTGCCCTACCAGCCAGGCACTGGTGGCTCATGCCTGTAGTCCTAGATGCTCAGGAGGCAGAGATCAGGAGGATCATGGTTCAAGATTAGCCTGGGCAAATAGTTTGCAAGACCCTATCTCAAAACAGGGCTGGTGGAGTGGCTCAAATGATAGAGTACCTACCTAGCAAGCATGAGGCCCTGAGTTTAAACTCCATTACCACCAAAAAAAATTCTTGGTGTAATTGATAAAATCATCCACAATAGATACATACATATATATCTCAAAGCATTCCATAAATACCCTATAAGCACACAAAATCATTATTTTCAAATCAAAATAAAAATTTAAATGAAAGAAATAAAGTGAACCTTCAAAGGTGCTATGATATGACCCAGAGAGGAAAAAAAAACTTTTTTATGAAATACAGGCATTATCTTTTTTTGTTGTTGCTGTTTTTGAGACAGTGTCTCACCATATAGCCCAGGTTGGCCTTGACCTCCTGCCTTAGCCTCCCTAATGCTGTGATTACAAGCATGTGCCACCATGTCTGGGTACATTTCATTTTTTAAGCGACTTAAAGAAAGAAAATATTTCTCTGTAACTCAGGAAATAAAGTAAAAAGTTTAAAGCTATTTCCTCTGGGCATGGTGGTACATGCCTGTAATCCCAGCACTGGGAAGGTGAAGGCATGAGGATCACATATTGGAGGTCATCCTGGGCTACATAGCAAGATCCTATCTCAAGAAAAAGGAATCCCCATAAAAGCAGGGCGCTGGTGGCTCATGCCTATAATCCTAGCTACTCAGGAGGCAGAGATCAGGAGGATCGCAGTTCAAAGCCAGCCCGGTCAAGTAGTTCATCAGACCCTATCTCAAAAAAACCCATCACAAAAAAGTCCCTAAGTTCAAACTTCAGTTATGGAAGAAAAAAAAATGCTTTATAAGCATCAGAAAAGCGGGGGGGGGGGGAGTTGGGGATGCCCTCCATGGTGAAGTATGAGCTCAGCATATGCAAGACTGGATTCCCAAGCCCCCCAACTCACACTCTGTTTTCTTTCCGTGGTCCTCAGGCTCTGGCCTCCTGCCGCGACACGCTGGGCTTCTACTGTCAAGAAAGGCTCCAAGCAGTGGAACTCCTGAACCAGCCGCTGGACAAGGTTCTGGAGCAGGCCGGCCGCCACTCGTGGGTGAACATCTCCCGCGCCCCGACTCCACGCACTCAGGGCCAGAAAACGCCTCCTCCTAACCCAGTGGGCCCCTATACCCCAGGTAGGCCCTACAGAAAGGAGTCCATTACAGTGTGTGTCCCTGATGCCCACCCATACCCTCGACTATCAGGTGTACCCCTTCACCCACTCAGCTGCCCCTTCCCTGGGGAATAGCAAGCCAGTCTCTAGTCCAGAGGGCACTTTTGCTCAGTTTCTCCTGGTAGAGTGTCCTGTCCACACACTGTGGGTCATGGGGTCTGCTTCAAATCATATGTCCGTACTAATAGCCCCTCCATTCGCCATGGCCAACCACCACCTCCAGAGCGAGAAGAGGGAGGATGGAGGAAGGAGGAGGAGTAGAAGAAAGGAAGGAGGAGAGAGAAAGGAAGGAGGCGGGGAGGAGGAGGAGCGAGGAGAAGGAACGGGGAGGATGGTAGGGGAGGGAAGGAGAGAGCACTAAGATGTGCCAAATGAGAGGCTCAGCACCCCACGTGTCCCTTCGGTTTGCAGACTGCGCCCAGGCGCTGTACGAAGCCAAGCGGTTGTTGATGGAGTCCAAAGACACCCTGGCAGAAATGGCCAAGAACGAGATGAACTTCCGTGAGCAGCAACAGCAGATAAACCACCGAGTGTGCGCCTCGCTGACGCAGAAGATGAGCGAGACTTTGGAGCTGAAGGTATGCGGGGAGGGGTGGTGGGTGCTGCAGGGCTGAGAGGTGGCGATTCCTGGCTAGGGTGGAAAAGCCCTCGGTCGGAGAGGAGGGGACTGGGAGCCAGCCTGATCTGCTGTCCCCCACTCCCAGGAAAGAACGAACATGACGTTGGGATTAATGAGGGGAACTATCCACCGGTGCACGAAATTCAACAAAGAGATGTACGTCACACGAGGCCTGATTAAGGTAAGGTTTGGGGGGTGAGTCTACAGCATGGGGATGGATACCAGGAGTGACTGGGCCTCACTGCTCCGCACACTGCGCTCTACCAGGGTCCCCTGCTGAAAACCCACCTGGAGGCTCGAGAGAAATTAGATAGACCTCTGGTTCGCATGTACCAGAAACACGTGGGCACCCAGCTTCCAGAGGCCACACGCCTCGCCCAGGTACGTCCCCCCTAGTCCATCCCCATCCTGGTAATAAGGCTCCTTCTTCAAGCACACCTGCCCAGGTAAAACACTCTCGCCCAGGTCTGCCCGCGACGGGCCCTTACATACTTACTCTTCCTTCAACCCCTGCAACCCCCAACACGCATCTCTTCATGATACCTGCCCCTCCCTCAGCCCGGCCCGGAGGAGGCTTCTTCTTGCCCAGATGAGTTCTATCAACCCAGTTCAGTCCCTCGCCTCACACTCCAGCCCTCAACCCTCCCTATCACTGGTCTTTTTTCAAGTGGTAGACGCCTGCCTACCAACCACGGGGCCCTCAGTTCAAACCCCAGTGCAGCCAAAAGAAAAGAAAGAAAAAAAAAAAAAGAATATCTAGCTCAGGTGTCTTCCTCCGCCGCGCCCCCCTCCAACTGAGGTCCACTTCTCTTTAGCTAGGACTCTTCCCAGACCAACCCCTTGCACGTACACATCTGGCCCAAGTATACCCATTCTCCATCCTAGGCCAGTCCTTCCACGCACACCTGGCCAGGTAAAGGCCCCGCTCTCCTTTGGGCTCGCCCACCCCACCCCCTCCCCAGGACACTGACCAGCTGCAGCGCCACAACGAGCACATGGAAAAGAACTTGAAGGAGCTGCTCGCCATGCACGATGAACTCTCCTGGAACCTTAACTGCAAGAAGATCGGGTGCGAAGTGGACCACGACGTGGTGCGCCTGCGCCGCCGCCAGCAGCACCCGCACGTGTTTTACGAACACGCGCAGCTCCTGGTCGGCGGCTGGGACCCGCGCACGCCGCCGCCCGCCGCGACCGGCTCAGCAGCCCCGAAGTGATGCGCGCGCCCCCAGCGGCAGCCTGCGCACCTGCTGGGACCTCGGGAGAGGAGGGTCCCAGTTCCAGGGCCCTCCGGACAGGACCGTCTGGCTCACCTTCAGTCCAAGTGAATTATAATTAAAAATACTAATTATTGTTTATTAGGCACTACTGTATGTCAATCACTTCTCATTCAAGACATGATAGGCAGTGTATCCTGAAAGTTAACAGGTTGGGTTTGGGTACTAGATTGTTACATTCAAATCCCATATCCTTGGGTAAGTCTGTGACCCTCTCTCACCTCAGTCTCTCCAACCTGTAAAGTGAGGACGGCTGTGGTAAGAAGAGATGTGTAAGGCCTGTAGCGTGGTTGCTGCATATAGGCATAACCCGAGTGATCTTAAGCTGTTGTTAGCAGCTCCGTTGTAGAATTGAGGAAACTGAGGCACAGAAAGGTTAAGTGGCTTTCCCAAGGTCACACAGTAAGTAGCAAAACAAGGATTTCATCGCTGACTACAAGGCCTGCACTCTAAGCAGAACTCCCCTGAGCTTTGCTGGGTCCTCACCCAACAAAAAGTGCCATACCCTAAACAGGCACAGAGATTGAAATGTGGTGCCTGCCTTCAGGGAGCTCAGGAGTTCATGCAGGGCAAACAACATTGTTGTTTCTGGTCTGGAGTTGCCTCTGCAGGAAGCATGCCCTGACTGCATCCCGCCATCCAGTCATAGCTCAGTTTCTCCTGTGGGTTCCTGAAGTCTATGAGACACCATTGCAGAACTCTCCACACTGACTGGGTTATTATCTGCCCTTCCCAAGAAGACCCCAGGGTGTAGAATACATCGAGAAAAGGGGTGTTCATACAGCTAGTCTTCCATATCTGTGTGTTCTCCATGTGTGGATTCAACCAACCTTGAATCAAAAATACTCAGGAAAAAAATTGTACTGAGCCAGAAGCCAATGGCTCAACCCTTCTGGCTCCTAGCTACTTGAGACACTGAGATCGGGAGTATCGTGGTTCAAAGCCAGCCCAAGCAAATAGTTCTCGAGACTGCATCTGGAGCTGTGCCTCAAGTGGTAGAGCACTTGCTTTGCAAATGCAAAGCTCTCGATTCAAACTCCAGTCCCACAAAAAAAAATGTACTGAACATGTACAGAGGTTGTTTTTCTTGTCCTTATTCCCTAAATGTGTAATACACTATTTACATATTGGATATAACAAGTAACCCAGACATCATTTAAAGTATACAGGAGGATGTGTATGAGTCGGGTGCAAATACTTACCCATTTATAGAAAGGACTTGAACATCTGCAGCTTTTGGTATCAACACGGGGTCCTAGTGAACAGGAGTTAGGGATTTAGGAAACCTGATGGATGAGAACCATGGCTTGGAATGTTGACCTTGACGCCACGACCTGTGACACACATCAGGGTCTTACTGACCTGCAGCCCTCACAGCCATGGAAAATGACAGCCCCAGTCTGGCCATCCAAGGCCAAAAAATCCCCCACCCAACCTGAGTGGAGATGAAGACACATGAAGATTGATGAGGGTCTGGTAAATTCACTATTTCCCAAAACAGGAAATGTTAAACTAGTAGTTCCTGCATGTAGCATCAAAGAAACCTTGGACAGCCAGGTGTGGTGACTTACACCTGCAATCCCAGCTACTAAGGGGGTGGAGATCAGGATGATCATGGTTCAAGACCAGTCTGGACAAAAAAAAGTTAGCAGGACCTCATCTTAATCAGCAAAAAGCTGGGCATGATGGCATGCACCTGTCATCCCAGCTACACAGGAGATCACTGTCCCAGACCAACCCAGGCAAGACCCTATCTGAAAAAATAACTAAAGCAAAAAAGGGCTGGTGGCATAGCTCAAGCAGCGGAGCACCTGCCTGGCAAGTGTGAAGCCCTGAGTTCAAACTCTAGTACCACCAAAGAAAAATAATAAATAAAATAATTTTAAAATGCATGTTAGAAAAGTTTCATTCAGGAATGAGTTATCCATAGTTCTGCTCAGAGTGAGCTAAATGTCAATGCAACACTATATACTTTAAGGTGTCTTTAAATAGAAATACATAAGACAAGGTTATGTATTGATCAGTTGTGCAAACTTTTGGTAACCAGAGACTCACAAGAACTTAACACTTAATTTCCCCAGGGAGCTGTAGTTCCAGATTTGCTAATTTGGTGTTTGCAACAAATATTAAAATTTTTATTTTAATATTTTCTTTAGGATTTGCACTCACTCTGTAGCTTAGGCTGGACTGGAACTCATGATCCTCCTGCCTCAGCCTCCTGATTAGGTGGGATTACAGTCATTACTACCATCTCCCAGGTCTGCAGCAACTTTATAGAACATAGCTACACTGAATGACAAGAGCTGACTGCATTGACAAAAATGCAGGGAACATGTAGTAAAACATCAAGGGATAATATAGTACCAAGGTGTTAGTAATTGTGGGGTGATTTACCACATGTAGGTATGAAGGGACCAAGAGAAGAAGGCAGCAAATGCTGCAGTGTAGACAGTGGGAAATCAATGTCCTTCTTCCCCCATTGGCCAGGGTTCCCTGTTAGTGGAACTACCCTATGACTTTTGTATTGCAGGTCCTTCCCAGGGCTCAAGATTTTTCTCTCTGCATGCGTGCTAGCCCACTCTGGTTCCCAGAAACCTTTGCATGAAGATGCAAATGCTTCTTTTGCAAGCGATGTCTTGCTCTGTGGGTTGCAGCCTGCCATCCTCACCCGTGCTGTCACAGCCCCAGTTGCCACATCAGCTCACCCAATGTTCCCAAGTAGCATTTCCACAACCCTACAGTTGCCTCAGAGCTGACAGAGATTTCAGCTGCTTCCCCACGTGTGAGCTCCAGACACTCAGCAAGACTCTGTGTGACACCATAAGGTTTGCCGGGGGCACATATTGGCGATAAAGAATTATGCTCAGAAATTTGTGTGTTAACAAGAAGGAGACTAAGTTGGAATTTTAAAGTCTGTGGGGACAAAGGCATGGGAAACAAAAGCAAGAATCAACAAATGGGATTGCATCCTACTAAAAAACCTGCACAGCAAAGGAGTCAGTCAACAGAGTGAAGAGACAGTGCCCAGGTTAGGAGAAAGTATACAATGGATGGTTAGTATCTGATAGTCTGTCGTTTCAAGGAGGCTGCCACTGAGGAAAAACCACACATGCTCAAATGCATAGAGTTCAAGGGTGTGATGCAGATGGTTGACTTCTTTTTCTCACAAGGACACCCACCTTCCACTGGGTAGAAGACATGCTGCCTTTCAACAACTCTCTATTTTTCACTTTGTCACTTAAATTAAGCACATTCACTTTTACCTCATTTTGGGGGTACCATTTCCTTTTGGGGAGGCAGATTGTCATAAAATGGGCCAGGAAAGACTCAGCAGCTCACACAATGATTTACAAGTGATGATAATGATGGCCTGACTGAGAGCTTCTCCACATCCACTGAGCTGCAGAATGTACATGGGGGAATTTAAATTGCTTTTGAAATTTGTGGGTTTTTATTTTTCTTTTTTTTAACAACTCTTGGTCAAAACCACATGTAATAAATCCACAAATAAAGCAGGCTTATTGTGTTTCTCAGCTATTCATTGGTCAGATGGTTGATATATGAAATATATAAGGAACTCAAAAAACTTACAATAAAAATAAGTAAACCAATATAAAAATGGGCAAGTGATCTGAAGAGACATTTCTCAAAAGAAGAAATACAACTGGTCAACAAAGACATGAAAACATTTTCAATAATGGGTCAGGGGGTGCAGCTCAATGGTAGAACATTTGTCTAGCATGCTGGGTTCCACCCCCAGAACCGCCCCCAAAAAACCCTCAGTATTAGCCATCAGGGAAATGCAACTCAAAACTGTAATGACATACCATCTCACCCCAGTTAGAATGGCTACAATTGTATCAAAAAATACAATTACAGTTGCTGGGAAGGATGTGGAGAAAAAGGAACCATTATACACTGTTGTTGAAAATGTAAATTGTAAATTAGTCCAGATACTATGGAGAAGAGTATGGAGGTTCCTCAAAAAATTAAAACCACATCTATCAGAGGATCCAGTTATCCCACTTCTAGGTATATGTCCAAGGAATATTAAATCAGCCTTACCAAAGAGATACCTGCATGCCATGTTTATGACCATCCTATTCACAGTAGGTAAGATATGGGATCAGTCTAGGTGCCCAACTAGATGAGTGGATAAAGAAAATGTGGTTTAGATATGCAATGTAGTATTATTCATCCTTAAAGAATGAATTTTCTGTCCTTTGCAGCAACATGGGTGAAAATGGAGGTCATTGCATTAAGTGAAATAAATCAGACACAGAAAGGCAAATACTACATGCTCTTGTTCATATGTGGAAGATAAAAAACAGTTGACCTGAAAGCAGAATAAGGATTACTTAGACGGGTCTGGCTATGTGGTCCAAGCTGGTCTCCAACTTGCAATTCTCCTGCCATAGCATCCTGTGTGCTGGGATTACAGATGTGCACCACAACCACATCTGGAGGCACAGTAACATTTATAGCTCCCTCTCTGAATCTGATACTGACCTCTTTCCTGCCTCTCACAAGGAGCCCTGTGATCATATTGGACTCACCTATATATCCCAGGAGACTCTGTCTCAAGGTCCTTAACCTAATCACATATGCAAAGTCCTTTTTTCCAGGCAAGCTAACATTCACTGTTTCTGAAGATATGGATGTCTAGTGACTGTAGGGTCCCTAACAGTATTGCCTTGCTTCAGGGTACTCTCAAAGAAGACCTCAAAAGAAGAATTCAAGTGTATTAAAAGTTTACCTGGAAGGCAATCCCAGGAGGCTCTAGTGTAGAGCAGAGCATGGAGGCAGGAAAGAAAGGGAGCCATAAAATGATGTTAAATAAGTTACCACTATGGACAACTAAGGCTCAGTCCTTCTCAGGACCTCTCAGAGGTAGTATAAAGCATTCCTCTCCGTTATTCCAGCTGAAGAAGGCAGATGGT